TCAAGGTCGTTTTCATCATGAAACTAATCAAAATCATCTCTATTTCTGTAATATGTTTTTCATTCTATCAAAAGAGACCAAGAAAACGAGAATACAACCATAAATACTATAGGAAAATACACCTCAAAGTCAGCATTTTAATCCAAAAACACGGTTGGAGTTTTTTTCCTCTCATGCACTGCGTGCTGCAGGATTTTTCTTATGCACACTGACACTGACCACCCAGACCCATTCTCTCACATGTGGGCCTACCAGCTTTCTCCTGCTTGATTTGAAGCCGCTAGAATTATTGAGCATATATACGTCCAAAACACTGGCTCGTAAGACGTATACGGTAAACCCCCCGTATTCGATATTAATCCGTTCCTGAGAGCTCATCATATGCCAAAATTATCGAAAGGCGAATAATGGAAATCAAATTAATCCGTGCAAGACACCCAAAAGTATGAAAAAAAAAATTTTACCACATGAAATATTAAGTTTAATGCACACAAACTGAAGAAGACATGCACAGTTTGTAGTACTCTACTAACAATAGAATACATGACACTTACCTTTAACCCTTTGACTGTTTTAGTTGTATATATACGTCTTACGAGCCAGTGTTTCAGACGTATATATACTCAATAATTCTAGCGGCTTCAAATCAAGCGGAAGAAAGCTGGTAGGCCCACATGTGAGAGAATGGGTCTGTGTGGTCAGTGTGCACCACATAAAAAAAATCCTGCAGCACACAGTGCATAATGAGAAAAAAAAACTCTGATCATTTTTTTGGATTAAAACGCCGACTTTGAGGTGTATTTTCGTATAGTATTTATCGATGTTTTTGTGTTTTTCATGGTCTTGGGTGATAAAATGGAAAACATATTACGAAATAGAGATGATTTTCATTATTTTGACGATGAAAACGCCCTTGAACTGAGCTCAAAGTAGCGGAATGCGATCTTTACCAAGTTCAGGAGTAAACAAATCACACCAAGCCAAACACGCAGCGGGGGGTCTTTATTCTTTCGCTAGGCACTGTTTTTTTATCCATTTTTCAATAATGCAGTAGCTGTAACAGTAAAATTTTGTATTTTTTTGATGAAAAAAAAAATAAAAATAGAAAGCAATAAAAATAAAAGGGGGGCCCTAGGTGTGAAAATTAAACAGAAGTTTATTTTTTTTGGGCCCAAGAATGTCTACCTTGTTTATTCGGGGACCTATTTTAAAATTTGGCATCTTTTTTAGGGTGTTTTCATCCATAAAGGGTTTGCAGTTCAACCCCCTTTGCACACATTTCCTTAATTTTTTAAGTGGCACAATGGATTCCACAATTTGGCATAGGCTTCTCAGGGTTAGCCCCCAAACCCTTCAAAACTTTTTTTAATTTCCCTACTTTTCTCTCCTTTTTACCCCAGGGTTGGCACTAGAAACTTTCTTGGGGCCATGGTGACTTATTTTTCAGAAAAAGCACCAAAAACACTGTGATAATATGGAATGTACCGAATGTTCTTAGATGCAGCACACTTGCTGGTTGTAAACATGGCCGCATGGGGCAGTTCAGGCCCACGTGGACATGTCCGGAGAGTCGCATTTGGGGGGTTTTTTAAAAGGTGGCGAGGCAAAATTTTTTGTTAAAATGTATTGAATCCGGATTTAACGGGTACCGATCCCATCAAATCCCGGGGGACCACTGTATATAGGCCCAAAAAACCAAAGGGTTAAATTTCCTCAAGTTTCCATATCTGAGTAGTTGAAATTTCTCCTCTTGAACTTCTTTGTTTTGAGGGGGCCCATTCGAAGTTTTGGTTGATGTCCACTTGGACCCCTCCGGTGTCTTCGTGGGGTCCTGCCATGGTAATCCAGGTGTCTCCGCAAAGGAAGACACGGAGCTAGGGCTTACATTCTGTTAACTTATAATTTTTTTTTCCCATCACCCTTTTTCCCACCAAGGAGGGGGGGCCCAAAAAAAAAGAAAAACCCAAAATGAAAGAAAAAACTTTCTCATATAAAATATTTTACCATCACTCATCTTTTTTATTTATTACGGTCTCCCTCAACTTCACGTTTTCGCTTTCAGGGCTTCACAATTCGCGAATTCCCAACCCCAAAATTCCCCACCACCAAATTCCCAGCCCCCAAAATCATTTTTTAATTTTTCCCGCCACCTTTGAATCCCTACTACCCTCCCCCAACCCCCGCTACTGGCACCAGCCCCCCCACCACTCAGTGTGGTTGGGTTTTGTTTGTTATTATTTGCTTTAAATACGTTAAAAAATGTAAACCCATTCATGACTGATTTTGAAATGGCTATTCGGAAGGTTTAACGGTGAATCTGTGTTTATCTTAACACAGCAAAGAATCAAACATTTTGCTACGCTAAAAAAACAATAGTAAAAATAATAATAATAATAATAAAAATAATAATTAATAATAAAAATAATAATAAAAAATAATAATAATAATATAAAATTTCTTTAAAAAATTGAAAAAGGGGAAATTGTACAAAAAATGAGGGAGTGGTTGAAAATTTCTCATATGGCTTTGTTTATGCTGGAGGAACATTAGTCTCCCTGCTTTTCCCAAAACATTTCCTATAAATTTTTGTGTTTGGTGCTTGTAGTTGAGTGCGACTGGAGTGGAGAGGGATGGTTGAGGCCCGCGATTGAGGCAGCAATTGAGGCAGCTGTTAGGCACGATTGAGGCAGTGGGGGGGGCACTGTTTTAGGCAGCTGTTGAGGGGCGTTGAGGCGCGATTGGACAGTGGTTTGGGCAGCTGTTGAGGGAGCTGTTGAGGAGGATTGAGGCAGCTGTTTGGGAGCGTTGAGGCAGCTGTTTAGGGGAGCGATTGAGGCAGTGGGTTTAGGACTGTTGAGGAAAGGAAATTTGGGCGTGGGTGAGGCAGCTGTTTAGGCGCTGTTTGGGGAGCTGTTGAGGCGCGATTGAGACAGTGGTTGAGGCAGTGTTGAGGAGCGTTGAGGCAGCGATTGGGCAGCGTTGGGCGTGTTGAGGCAGCTGTTAGGCATCGGTTGAGGCGCGATTTTAGGCACGATTGAGGCAGCGTTTTTGCAGTGGTTGAGGCAGCTGTTGAGGCAGCGATTAGGGAGTGGGTTTAGGAGCTGTTAAGGCTTTTTTTAGGGGGATTTAGGCAGTGGGTTTGGGAGTGTTTTAGGCAGCGATTGGGCAGTGGGTGAGGGAGCTGTTGAGGCAGTGTTGAGGCAGCGATTGAGGCAGTGGTTTTAGGCAGCTGTTTGGGGAGCTGTTGAGGCAGCGTTTAGGCAGCTGTTGAGGCAGCTGTTTAGGAGCTGTTTACACGGTTGAGGGAGCGATTGAGGCAGCATTGAGGCAGCGATTAGGGAGGGTTTAGGCAGCTGTTGAGGCAGCGATTGAGGCATGGGTGGGCAGCTGTTGAGGCAGTGTTGGGCAGCGTTTTAGGGAGCGATTGAGGCAGTGGGTTAGGCAGCTGTTGAGACAGAATTGAGGGAGTGGGTGAGGAGCGTTGAGGGAGCTGTTGAGGGAGCGTGAGGGAGGGGTGAGGCAGCTGTTAGGAAGGGGATTGCAGCAGCGGTTGAGGCAGTGGTATTTTAATAACAACATGTTTTAATAATAATAATACATGTTATTAATAATAGTACTATTATTATTTATAACATTAGTTATTTAAAACCCTGCCCCAACCGTTGAATTTTTGTGAAATGTTTGGAAGGCAGGGAGGGGCTAAAGTTCACCCACCTAAACAAAGCCACCTGACGGTGTCAACCATCCCCGTATTTTTGGCAATTTTTCCTTTTTCAATTTTATCTTTTATTTTTATTTTTATTTTTATTTATTATTATTATTATTATTATTATTATTATTATTTTATTATTACTTTGTTATTTTTAGCAGTAGCAAAATGTTTGATTCTTTTCTGTGTTAAGAGTAAAAAACATGATGTCACCGTCCAAACCTTCCCAATAGCCATTTCCCAAAAATGCAGTCATGAATGGGTTTACATTATTTATACTGTAGTTTATAGCAAAAATGAACAAAACAAAACACTCACCACATGATTTGGGGGGAGGGCGGTGCCCGTTGCGGGGGCGGGGGGAGGTGTAGGGATGGGAGTGGTTAAGGAAATGGTGGGGGCAGGGGGGGGGTCTGTGGCTTTAATAACATCAAATTATTAAAGATAACTGTATTATTTAGTACAATTTCACTTTTTCATGTTTTTTATGATTGTTCAGGGTTTAAAAGTTAAAGGAAGAGTATTGTAATATTTCCCCACAAAATATTGGGGCACCAAACATTTAAAAGGTTTTTTAAAAATTCCGAGGCTCTTTGATCCCTAACCCTCGGAATGTTGAGGGAGACCCGTTTTTTTTTTTTTTTTCAAAAGTCGGCCGTTCCCCCCCGAGGGGGGACCCCAAAAAAAAAAGAAATCCCCAAAAAAAAAAATCTTTCTCATCATTCAAAACTTTTTCCCTCACCCCCATAAACACTGTTTTTGCAGAGGGTTTAAATACAAAAAATTTAGAAGCATAACGTTAAAAATACATAACATATCCCTCCAAATCCCAAAATCCCAAACCCCCCTTTAAGGCCCGGGGATTTATTCCCATTTCCCGAAAACAAAATCCGGCTATATAAAAATAAATGGGTTCTCTGAATCCCTCCACTAAATATTACCCTGCTCTCACTCCAACAGCTCATCGGGTCCCAAATACCATTCGTTTCCATTCACTTCTATCTAACACGCTCACGCACGCTTGTTTGCTATATTTATTTATTTATTTTTAACAGAATTGGGTAGCTTTCAGCATTGCATCAATACTTGTGAAACACTCTCTGAAATTATGGGTGGACACCTAACCCAATAACATCAAGCTCTTAACCCTGACTCTACCAGTATGACAAATGTATGAATTATAGCTGTGAATGCTACTCTGTAATGCATAATAATGCTCATATCTGAACAACAACAATAAAGGTTCCCCCCTTGGTGTGCTTTTGTTTTACCTCTTTAGTTCCATACTTACTGGCTTAGCTTTTCTTGCATTTCACACAAATAATTTTCCTCATGTTCAAGGATAATGTGAACTCTTGCCAACTGACCACAGAGTTCTGGATATACTTCACCAAGATTTTCTGCCACAATTTTAGTCAGTTCTATTAAGCTGTTCTTTCCATGGGTGAAACAAAACTGGTTGTTGCCAACGTTGATGGCTCTTCTTATTATGCGACGCAATTTATGACTGAAAAATATGGATTTTGTAAGTGTGTGAAATGATGTTAATTAGCTGCAAGTAGCAAAGCTGTTTTCTGACATTGTAAGTAATCAATTCTTAGCTTTACTGTGTATATCTATGGTAAATACAAGAGAAACTAATACATATATTTGTTTTAAGCAAAGTTTGTAACTCCTTATGTTATAGTCTAGAAATTTTAAAACTTACTGTTTTATTATGCATTGTTTTCCAGAATTAAAGAATACTGTACTGTGATGAGATAAAGTCATGGATAGATATATGAGTGCGTATCACTGTACGAGTATGTATGAATGTGTAATTGAGTGTGTACGAATGTATATGAATGAACATGCTTGCAAAAGTACTAGGAAGTATTGTACATGATTTATACAAATACATTTACAATATTAGTTTTCATATAGAGGAAGGGCCCACTTCTCAGCAATCTGCTTTTTGGCAATGAACTATTTCAGTGATTTTCAATTCTATCCACTGTTCTGCATATTCAGTGATTGTTCCGCTTTTTATGACACTTGGAAGAAGCTAATTCCTGAACTGATGGACGATTTTGAAGCCTTTGAGAATCCAGAGGAGGAAGTTACTACAAATGTCCTGCTGTCCCTAGAGAAATGACAGCCAAGGAATTCAAAGAACCTATCAACTGTACAGAAATGGAAATAGCAGCTTTTGAGAGAACTGACTAAAATTTCAAAAGAAGTTCAAAAGTAAATGCAACTCTTTTAAATGGTACTGCATGCTATTAAGAAATTCTAAGGGAAAGGGGGATGACAATCCATAGGGCAAAGTTCATTGCTTTCCTACTTAAGAAAGTACCACTGCAACCTCTGAAAGCAACAGCTAGCCTTGAAAAACCAGCAACACACACCCCTGCAAAAGCTTCATCCAAGTCTCCATCATCAAAATGAATAAGATTCATTGAAGAATCTACAAAAAATACAGTAGTACCTCGAATTTCAGCCTTAATTCGTTCCAGAAGGCTGTTCGAGTGCCGTTACCAAACAAATTTGTTCCCATAAGGAATAATGTATATTAGATTAGTCCGTTTCAGACCCCCCAAAAATACACTTACATAAGCACTTACAAAAATACACTTACATAATTGTTCGAGTTGGGAGCTGTTCGAAATTCGGGTTACCCCTGTATAAGCATTCTTCAAAGTCACTACTCACTACATATAAGATAAGGATGAAAATATTTTAAGGTAAGTAATGTGTGTACTGTACATTAATTTTATTTTCATATTATTCTTTTTAGGTCTAGCTCTATTGTGCACCTTATATATGATAGTGTAAACATGTTATCAGACTTTTATAGGCATTTGAAAGTGAAAAAAAGACTATATTTCACTTTTTGGCAGGAGTCCAGAACCTAACCTGCTGTATAAGTGGAGCTTCTTGTACTGTATCTAAATAATTATATTTCAAATATCACTGAATGTTATAATATTTTCAATATGAGATAAAATTTGTGCTTAACATAGGCTTCTGCAATAAGCCCAATTCTAATCATCAAACAGTAAAATAATTAACTTCTTCATGAGAGAGAAATTAGAAGTGATAATTATTGCATATTTTCTTTGTTTAATGAGAGTGAGAAAAGAGAACATAATTTTGTAATGAAGAATGAGACACTTGTGTAACATTTGGGAATCTTTGTTATGGAAAAGTTTTGCCAGCCCGTGGCTTCCTTAGTCCATTACAGAGAAGAACAGTGGGAGATGAGGAGGAGTGTGGCATGCAAAGAGTACGTAACCTTTATTCGGCGCATGTACACACCCTCATTTACAGGCTATCTCCCCAACAAGCGAACCAGGTTGCTAAGAGTTGATGATGGGGCCCCGTCGTTCAACTAGTGACCAGGTTCTAGCCAATAAGAAGATGGTTTTGGCAATCGCAGAGGTTATGTGGGTTTTCCGCTTTTCCTGTCTCCCCTTGTCTTTTCCCCATTCTAGAGGGGTTTTGGAACCCCGGGTTTGCTATCTTGGGGCTTTTTTCGCCTTGTTTTACCGGGGGTGCATTTAAACTTTTCACTGTACAAAGTGTACATATTGCTGTTCTAAAATTAGTGAAGGAAAATTATAAGTCAAAAATTTTTTCTTCTGTGTTTATTTTGCCCCATTCCCCCGGGGGAAAAACAGGCCTTTTGGTTTCCGGGGGTTGTAATAAGGATTTTGGGAATTTAATCGGGCCCCTCAGCATGGAGTCAATGTACCCCTAGTTGGGGTTTTGCGGGTCGGGTACAGCCCCTTTTGGTTTTGGTTTCAGACCACCAGCACAAAATAAAAGCCCACAGGAAAGGGTTGAATAGACACACCAAATTTTCCCTCTATGAGCCCCCCAAGCTGCTGTTTTAGATTACATTTCCAATATGTTTTTTGGTGGACAAATGTGACTTTGCAAAAATTTTGTTAATTGTAATCTGCAAGATTAAAAGTGCTCTTAAAAACCTTTTTCCCCATCTTGGGGGATGTTTGTAATGATGAAAAATTTTAAAATTATATACTAAATAAAATCCCCGCAACAGATGCCCTATGCCAACTTCTGTTTACCCAGTCTTAGACAAATTTTTAAAGAAATCCCAAAGTCTAAAACACCTACAAACCCCACCCCACTGTATGGCCCCCAAATACGTTCTCTTTTTGGAATTTTTTGGTGATCACTTCCTAAGGGACACTTTTTTGCTAAAAAACCAAAGTTGGGCTCGAAGTGAGGGATTTTTTGTGCCCCACACAACAAGGGGGGCCCGGGAAAAAGAAAAAGGGAGTACATGTTTTGGGATAGTGTGTAAAAAACCCCAATATGTATGGAGCTGTGTTTAGGAAGTTCCACGGGCCCTGAAAAAGTTTGGGAAAACTGATAAGTCCCTTCAAACGGTTTTTGGGAAAAAAAAAACTGGATTTAGGAAAAAACTAATCAGGGGGAAACCCTGACTTCCGAGTTTAACCCAAACCCTTAAACCTAGCTCGAAAACTCTTTTTTTGCTCATTTATCAAATAAATTTTTTCCTCATTTTTTTTAAACTGAAATCCCCATTAATCCTTCCCCACGGGAATTCCGGGCTCTCTGGAGGCAGGCCAAAATACTTCAATATAAACCCCAAAATTATAAACCTGTCAGAGCGCCCAAAAAGGAAACTTTAGTCATTTAAATGGGTATACTTAGGTTGGGGTTAACAAAGGGAATTTAAATTATAAGAGTTTACACCCTTCCCCTCCACTTCCCAAATGTACAGGGGGGGGACCCCCCGGTTAACGACGTCATGGGAAATAACATAAAAAATTGGATGACATTTTTGGGTTTTAAAATATTGGTTCAGTTAACGACAAAGAACTCTTTTAAAGGCTTTTGGTCCAAAAATTTGGTCCGCGTGGTTTGAGCACCCCCGGCCACTCCGGGTACGGGCCAGGGGCCCTTTTGGGGTTAAAGGGCCAGTGAGGACGTTTCCGGAAAGTAAATGCGTACTTTTTTTGTATTATTCCATTTTTTTTTAGTGTTTGGTAATGCTAAATAAACCAGGTAGTGGGTTGGTAGACAGCAATGCCCAGGGATTTTATACCTTTCCTCCCAAGTGAGTGTTAAAACGAAAGCCTGTAATTTTTTTTACATGATGGTAGGAGTGCTGGGTCCTTTTTTCTGTCTAAATAAACATGCAAAGATTTCAGGTAGCTTGTACTTCTCCCTTTCATTAGGTCACACTAAAAAATAATGTTTTTTTTTTTTGTTTTTTTTAACCAAATCGGCCGGTTTTCCCCCTGAGGCAGGGTGACCCAAAAAAGAAAGGGGGAAACCCCAAAAAAAAAAAATGCCTTTTTATCATCCCTTCAAAACTTTCCCCCCACTCACAAAAATCCCCTGTTTTTGCAGGGTGCTCAGAAAACAACATTTTGAAGCATATTAAAATATTAAAAAACACAACTTTTCCCTCCCAAAAAACCATATCCCCCCAAACCCCCCCTTTTAAAATGCAGGCATTGTACTGACAAGCTTATATACTTTTTTACAAACCCCCTCGGGGGTTTTTTGCTATTTTCTTTCTTTGGTCTTGGTTTTTGTTTATTTCCTTTATCTCCGGGGAAGTGGAACAGAAATTTTTCCCCCATAAAACCCTTTCGTGTTGTAAAAGGCGACTTAAAATGCCGGGGCAAGGGGTTGTAAAACCCCCTTCCCCCTGTTAAAATTTTCCAAAATTTTAAAAAAAAGAAACCCTTTTTTTTTTCCCTTTTTTGGGGCCCCCCTGCCTCGGTGGGGTACGGCCCCGGGTTTTTTGAAAGGGAAAAAAAAAAAAATGCTAAATTTAAACCCAATTTGGGGCCCAAAGGGGAAAACCCCTTTAGTGCCGCCAAACCCCTTTTGGGGAAAGGGGTGAGGGGAAGGGGGGGGAAAATGTGCCCCCTTTTAGTGGGTTCGGGAATATGTACATTAAAGCAGCAGGGAAATCCCCAAAAAAAGACATTGTGGCCCGCCAGCGAAAAGTGTAAATTAACTGTACAAGTAATTAAGGATTAATTGATAGAAAAAAAGGGCAGCAGAACCCCAAATCCTCCCAAAGTTGTTGGAAAACTATAAGGACGCTGACAAACCGCCATCCCCTAGGGCTCTACCCCTGCTGCCGCCCCCAAACCCCCACTATGTACGGCTTTTTTGGGTTTTCAGTGGCTCTTATTTCACCCAACAGCAAAAACCAGCAAAAATCGTGCAACCCTTTAAAGGGTTTTTTTATTCATTCTAGGTACTTTTATATGTTTTGTTTTATGTTATTAAAATTGTTTATTATGTATTTCAGATGTTTTTATAGTAAATTTTGCCCTAGAGCTGATATTAGGGTCATATTTAAGGGGGGCTTTCCCTTTTGTTCCCCCAACCCCAATTCCAACATACGCCCGAAACAGACCTCTCTGGGGGAAAAATTTTTTGAGCGGGCAGGGGTCCCGGGGCTCTCAAGCTGGGCCTAGTTGCATTAAAAAAACAGGGGGGGAAGTAACCCAGGATAAGGGGCTTTGGGACCTGAAATTTTTTTGGGGGTGGGATTTTCCCCTTCCAAAAAAAGTTAAAATTTTTCCTTCCTCTCCCCCCCTCCCAAACTTCCCTTTCATCACCTTTTCTTCAATAAAAGGGAAAAGGTTTTTAAAATTTTTTTTATTATTGTTTTATTTTCATGTATCATTGTTTCTGTGTAGGTAAATGCTATTTCATGTAGAAAAAAATTTTTTTAAATACTTTTTTGGGGTGTCTGAAACGGATTAATTTTGGATAAGTACAGTACAGTGTCTTTATTGCATTTTTTGTGAAAAAATTAAAACTAAAATAAATGTATATTTTTTTTACCTGTCTCAGGAAACATCCCATTGCGAGTGCTCTGTCAACACCCCTCACGTGTCACCCAAGATTCTGTATGCTGTATTAACCCATGAAAACATCAGTAATCTTCCCTGTGTATGCTGGTTTCCCACTTATCGTCAAGATATATGTGATGTAAACTGAAATTGCGTCACTTCATACAAATTTTAAATCCCTTTTATATGAAAGAAACGTCTCAACATTTAAGTATGTAAGTTGTCCTTAAAATTTACAAGGGTTGCCCCGAAGTCAAGTTTACTTTTGCTTCAGAGACCTATTTCTAAAATAATCACTCAAATGTTTAAAACAGAACATTCTAAAAGTTTTGGGTTAATTTTAAATTTTAAGGGTCATGAATGAAGCCTAAAACATAGGGCATCCCAAAAATACAGTGGCCCCCGCATAACGATTTATTTCAATCCAAAAGGGGGGTCTGTTTGGGTCCCGTTAGCCCGAATTTGTTCCCATAAGAAATATTGTAAATTAGATTAGTCCTTTTCAGACCCCTAAAAATACACCTACAAAAGCACTTACAAAAATAAACTTACATAATTGGTCGAGTTGGGAGCTGATCGTTATCCGGGGGTCCACTGTACTCATGGATAATCAGATCTATTAGCTGGATGTCCATCAGTAAAAATGTTGGACAACTGAAATCCTCAAATGAGTAAGTTCATTTGTAGACACAGCTGTATATTAGTTTTGAAAACTGAGCATCTAATATCAGTTACATGACAGCACATAACTATTTTTTTTTTTTTTTTGGTAAATACAAATACAAATCTTAAGTCTAGCACTCTCAAATCTCGCCTGTTTAAATATTCCATTTAATGATATCTAAAATATGTTTTTTATGTTTATTGCCACTTTGTTTTGGTGGTATAAACAGCATTATTTTGTTTACGGTGGACTTTTTGAATACTCTGTTACATACTATATTGTGGTTTTATTATACAGCAAACCTACACATAGTCCCATAGCTATTAATGATGCAGCTACCACTCTCTTTTTCCCTCCCTAACATCCTTCTTACCCCCAGTAAATCACAGTTTCCCTCTTACAAAGAGCAAGAGAGTGAGAGGTGCAGTTTGAACGCTACATGAAATTAGGAAGCCCAATATATGCAATGTTTATTCAGAAGTTAACAACCAAGGACTGACTGAGAAAGTTCCTCCAGTGATCTACAGTAGGCTTCCCGGGGAAGAAAATGGGTTGACCATATGTTTTTCCCAGTGTCATTCTAAGGTTATTAAATTATTAAAACAGTTATTAATCCATAACCTTGCCTTTGCTATAGCAGAAAATATAGGAATAAAAAGATCTGTATCATAGTTGGATGTTTTGCCATTCAAGGTTGCTGTTAATCTCTCCAGACCCATACCAGTATCCACATAATGAGTGCCAAGGCTCTGAAGACTGCAGTCTTTTAACCTGTAAATGAGAAAAAAATACCAATTCTTAGGCACAGAATTACATATCAGCAGATTCTTAAATGCATTCTATTTTCTTATCTTTATCAACATCATCCATTAATTAAATTTATATCTTTGCCTATTTACTGTCACACTAACTAACTGTAATTTTTTATATACTTCATCTCGATTATAAATATAATTACTGTAAACAACTAGCTACCTCTACTGTATTAAGAAAAACAATGTCCAGTATAATAAAAATTTACTCCTCTCAAAATCACTAGTACAGGTTGGCCATCAATAATCCAGCAATCAGTAATCCGGTTCCAACAGCAATACAGCACTAATTTCAACTAGCATAACTTCAAATTTTCGGATTGTCGCACCAAAAAAAAACAAAAACAATTGCAACTTGTATAATTACTACTAATTCAGAGTCATGTACTTATATATCTGTTATATCTATGTGACTCTGATGGGTTAGTCTTATACCCCTTAAAGAATATCTTATCATTTCATGTACACTTTTAAAATTACACCAAAGTGGTTGAGCCACTTACCTTTTATATCCTACCTCTCTCCCCCCTCCCACCCTTTTCCAAAATTTCTATCCTTACCCATCCTTCTTCCTTACCCATCTCACCAAAGCTCTGGTCTGGACAAGAAACAAGAAGAAACCTGCTGCTGCTGTTTGGTGGCACTACTTGCTGCATAAGTCATTCCAGTTTCTTTTTCTCCATTTATTGTTATAACCTGCTAACTTTTAACCTTAACCATGGTTCCAACAAATAAAAGAAATGCTTCTCATTGTGTAAAGCACATACACCATACATTGTCCATAAAAGATAAAGTGGCTTTGAAGCCACTGTCGGTCGCCATGAGCTCAGCTCATTCAGATCAGCTATGACCGGTAAACTTGGGCCTACATATGAGAGAATAGGTCTGTGTGGTAAGTGTGCACTACATAAAAAAAATCCTACAGCATGCAGTGCATAACGAGAAAAAAACTGCGACCATGTTTATGGTGTAAACCCAACTTTGCGGTGTATTTTCATATGGTTTGTATGGTTGTATTTTTTTTTTTTTTTGGTCTCATTTGATAGAATGAAAGATATATTACAGAAATAGATACAATTCTGATTGGTTTCACACCAGAAAGTACCTTAAAATTGAACTCAAAGTAGCGAAAATGTTCAGTTTTTGCCGATGTTCAAGAGTAAACATACGACATCACCATCTAATACGTGTTCAACCGGCCAGTCTAATATGCAGTCATGAATGGGTTGACATTATTTATACAGTTTTTACAATAATACAGTAGTCTGCAAAACAGTAAATCTTCACCACCCTACACAAGACACATCCATCTCTCAATGAGTTATCCTAATGTCGTGTCTGCACGTTTCAGCATCCAAACACAGGTACAAGCAGGATCTAGCCGAAATTTGCCGAATTTCTTCGAGTGACCCCATGCTACAGTGTCCCATGCTGTTTCTCAAGCCACATGTTCAGTGTCACTTGTATGTTCTGCTGTTGTTGTTCATCTCAGCACAGCTATTTCAGCAAGCCAGAGGTGAGTTTTGTGGTGATTTCTGCATCCAGTGTGAGTTTCCTCATGTGTGTATGGGAGAGGAAGGGAGGCACGGTCCTCCACCATCGCCACTCGCTCACGCCTCACCCGCCTACCACCACATTTCATCACCATGTACCCACTCCCTCTGCTGTGTTGTCTGCTGTTTTCCATGTGAATTCACTGTCAGAGCTGTGTATCCAAGTGCGCAAGGCCACTCGAAGCTACGTAGATCAGCATGCCATGTAGATCATGATGCCACGTGGGGTGTGGACGAAGCCACGTGGATCTACGAGCCACATGAGTTATCGAGCCAGACGTCCCAGGCCACATGCTGTGGTCTGCTGCTGCCCGACTTCATGACGTCACGATGTCTGCCTGACGTCACCTCGAGATGTCTGCTGATGTCACAGTGCTGCTGACGTCACCTTGCGACGTCATGCCTGACATCACATGATGTCACATCGAGTGTTTCAGTAATTATATCAGTATTGTCGAGAAGATTGAGAGAAGATATGTGTCATGTGTTAATTAATTCCTCTCAGTCAGTGTTCTCACATGTTAGTGTATGGCTTAGTGTCAATTTTGTGCACAGAAAAGCATCATTTCTTAGTATAAGCCACGTTGTACCGCATGTACTGCGGGTGTGTGTAAAGTTTTCCGTGTGTCCAGTGTGGTCTTGAGCCCAGACCCCAGAGTAGTACCTCTGTGTTACTTGTCACCCGGTGTGACCAGCGCGTTTGACAGCTGATATTAGTCAGCCCCGAGCGTCCGAGCCTCTTGTACAAAAAGCTCTTATTGTTCACCGCTCGTGATGCCCTGCAGAATTGTACCTGCTACGATTCCCATCGAGTTAAACCTAAGGAAGGAGTAGCAATAATGTTGAAGGATCAGATCAGTTATGGCATGAAAAAGAGGGAATATAAATGTATAAATTCAAGGATTACATGGAGTAAAATAAGGGTTGGATGTGAAAAGTGGGTTATAGTAAGTGTTCATGCACCTGGAGAAGAAAGAAATGTGGAGGAGACAAGAGATTTTGGGAAATGTTGAGTGCGTGGGGAGTTTTGAACCAGGTGAGAGAATACTTGTGGTTGGGTATCTAAATGCTATGATGGGTAAAAATGTCGTGGAGGGAGTAGTAGGTAAATTTGGGGTCCCAGGGGTAAATAAAAATAGGGAGCTTTTAATTGAACTATATGTAGAAAGAGGTCTGGTAATAAGTAATACATATTTTATGAAAAAGAGGATAAATAAGTAGTATACAAGATATGATATAGCGCGTAATGAAAGTAGTTTGTTAGATTATGTATTGGCGGATAAAAGGGTGATGGGTAGGCTTCAGGATGTACATGTTTATAGAGGGGCAACAGATATACTGGATCATTATTTAATTGTACCTACAGTTAGAGTAAGAGGTAGATGGGGCAAAAGGAAAATGGCAACAGCAAGTAAGAGAGAGGTGAAAGTTTACAAAGTAAGGGAGGAGAAAGTTAGGGTGAGATATAAGCAACTATTGGCAGAAAGGTGGGCTAGTGCAAGTATGGGTAGTAGGGAGGGGGGCCTTGAAGAGGGGTGGGATAGTTTTAAAAGTGCAGTGTTAAAATGTGGGGCAGAAGTCTGTGGCTATAGAAGGATGGGTGCATTACGAAAGAGAAGTGATTGGTGGAATAATGAGGTAAAGGGTGTGATAAAGGAGAAAAAGATTGCTTATGAGAGGTTCTTACAAAGCAGAGGTGATATAAGAAAGACAGGGTATATGGAGAGTAAAAGAAAGGTGGAGAGAGTGGTGAGAGAGTGCAAAAGGAGAGCTATCAAACACTATCAAGCAATTTTGCTGAGAATAAGAAAAATTTTTTGAGTGAGATAAACAGGTTAAGAAAGCCTAAGGAACGAATGGATTTGTCAGTTAAAAACAGAGTAAAGGAGCTAGTAGATGGGGAGCTGGAGGTATTGGGAAGATGGAGGGAATATTCTGATGAACTATTAAATGTTGATGAAGAAAGGGAGGCAGTAATTTCATGCACTGGCCAGGAAGGTATAGCATCTTTTAGAAGTGAAGAAGAGCAGGATGTGAGTGGGGGAGAGGTGCATGAAGCATTATGTAGAATGAAAGGGGGTAAAGCAGCTGGAACTGACAGGATCATGTCCGAAATGCTAAAAGCAGGAGGGGATATAGTGTTGGAGTGGTTGGTATTTTTGTTTAATAAATGTAAGAAAGAGGAGGAGGTACGTACCTAGGGATTGGCAGTGTGTGTATAGTTTCTTTATATAAAGGGAAGGGGGACAAAAGAGGCTGTAAAATTTATAGGGGAATAAGTTTATTGAGTTTTCCATGGGGAAGTGGAACAGAATTCTTCCTCTGTAAGTCATGTGTGTCGTAAGAGGCAACTAAAATGCCGAGAGCAAGGGGCTAGTAACCCCTTCTCCTGTATATATAACTAAATGTAAAAGGAGAAACTTTTGTTTTTCCTTTTGGGCCACTCCGCCTCGGTGGGATATGGCTGGTGTGTTGAAAGAAGAAAGAAAGAAGCTTATTGAGTATACCAGGTATAGTATATGGTAGGGTTATTATTGAAAGAATTAGAGGTAAGATAGAGAGCAGGATTGCAGATGACCAAGAAGACTTTAGACTGGGTAGGGGATGTGTAGCTCAAATGTTAACATTGAAGTATATACCGTATTTCACAGTTTATAAGACGTGGCTTATGAGACTTGTTTTAGTTTCAATGGCTTGGCATCAGACATAACTGGGAGACCTACAGCCCACCCCACACCCCAAACTTATAGCTCCTGTCACTGACCTTCAGTTTATAGGATGCAGGGTGGTTTTGGAGACATTTTATGGAAAAAAAAAGCTACAAAATATGGTATGTGTACAGTATTTAGATAAAGGTAGGGAAGTTTTCACTGAATTAATGGATTTGGAAAGGCATATGATAGAATGGATAGGGGAGCAATGTGGCAGATGTTGCAAGTATATGGAATAGGTAGTAAGTTACTAAATGCTGTAAAGAGTTTTTATGAAGATAGTGAGGCTCAGGATAGGGTATGTAGGAGACAGTGAGATAACTTCCCAGTAAATATAGGTCTTAGATGAGGATGTGTAATGTCACTATGGCTGCTTAACATATTTATAGATGGGATTGTAAAGGAAGTAAATGCTAGGGTGTTGGGGAGAGGGGTGGGATTGAATTATGGGGAATCAAATACAAAATGGGAGTTGACACAGTTACTTTTTGCTAATGATAATGTGCTTTTGGGAGATTCTATAGAAAAGTTCCAAAGATTAGTGGATGAGTTTGGGAGGGGTGTGTTGAAAGCGAACATAGATAAGAGTAAGGTGATGAGGATATCAAGCGATTTAGATAAAGAAAAATTGGATATCATATTGGAGGAATGGGTTTATGAAGAATGAGGTTAACCATAGAACTGATGAAGGAAAA